TTGTTGTTATGTGCCGTCGAGTCAGCCCTGACTCATAGCGACCCCTCCTTGGGTTTCCGAGGCAGTATCACTACGGAAGTAGGATTGCCCAACCTAGTCTACTCTAAAACAGGAGATCTAGTTGTTTTTTTTTTTTTTTTTAATATGCTTAAGTACCACTGGAGGGCGGGCTTTGTATTAAAGCCTAGATGTTTACTGAGTGAGTGAGAATAACTGAAAGGGCAAACCATGTCTAAATTACCTATTTGCCATTTTAAATTGTTTACCTTAGAAGTGAATCCACCTTACTAAATAGGGTCTAATCTGCTGAATGTAAAATATCATTTCTAAATTACTGCATTGTTTTAGGCATTACAGTACATAATATATTTAGGCTTCCTTCTCCACATCTCACATAAACTTTTATTTATAAAAATGATTTTGTTATTAAAAAGCAGTATGTATACTGAAATTAAATGAAAAAATGTTGGTCAGATTTTTAAGTAGGAGGGAGATGTTTCTATGAAATGCTATTTCGTAGAGTATTGACACAGACAAATCCACAATAGTAGGTTATTCATAAATGCTGTACAAAGAAAGTAATAATATGATAAAGTGACTCGGTGGCTGCTTTAGGTTGGATTCTTAGGAAGGCCTATCTATGCCGAAATGAGATTGACTGTTAGCTCTGTGAACAGGCACCTTGTTTGTCGTTTTATCCATCACTATATCGTCATCACGTAGAACACTGGCACAATGTAGAATGCGAAATATTTAGCAATTGTGTGTGTGAAGATCTTCTAAGGCAGTTTTATTTAATTAATGTTTACTATATGCCTGATATGCCCAGAAGAACTTTTAATGATATCTCATTTTATCCTACAAGTACCCCATGATCATGGGCTCTGTCTTTCAAGGGAAAAATTCCAGATCTGTCACATACTGGCAATGTAAGCTAGATAAGAGCTTCTGTGTTACATGGCTCAAGATGTACTGCATTTTTATAGTTTGTATCTTATCTCATTATCAGTTGTGACTCCTTTCCATTGTGCATAACCTTTTAGCTAAAATGCCTTAGTTTTCTGAAGGAAACTAGATTGCCACACTTTTGTAGAGTTGTATATCTGTCTATAATGAGAAATGCTTAATGGAAAACTTTAAACAGACTCAGTGACTCCAGTCCTAGGTGTATACTCGAGAAATGAACGCAGAGGTCTACACAAAAACTTCGTGCATGAATGCTATAGTAGCATTATTCGTAATAGCCAAAGGTGGTAACAACCCAAATGTCTACCAGCTGATTGGTGGATAAACAAAATGCGGTATATGTGTACAATAGAATATTATTCAGCCATAAAAAGGAATGAAGGAATGATACATGGTGTACCATAGATGAACCTTGAAACCATTATGCTAAGTGAAATAAGTACAAAATTCCACATATTAATCAGTTCCATTCATATTTCCAGAAAAAGGAAATCTATGAAAAAAGAAAGTAGAGTATTGGCTGCTTACAGACAAGGAGGAGAAAAGAATAGAAGGGTGATGGCTCAGGGGTGTGGAGTTTTTTTAGAGGGGTTATGAAAATGTTCTAAAATTGATTATGGTAATGATTGTATCTGAATATTACTGAAACTCATTGACTTTTGTATTTTGAATAGGTAGGTTGGTATGTGAATTATATAGCATGTCAATAAAGCTGTTAAAAAACTTTTTGTTTGCTTTTTAGTGTTTCATTGTTAGAATACTTGAAACCTGTAGCATATTGGATATTGCATAAAGCAAAGCATGAAAATGATAGCCAGGACCAGAAAGAAAATACAGGTTTAGGCTCATCACTCCAAAGAACATTATTTTATGTCCAAGTTCTCTCTTCTTTTCCCTCTTCCCAGTGAATACTGAGATCCATTTTTTTTTTCAACACTGACTTGACTTTAGGGTCAGATGGTGAATGAAAACCAAAAATTCTGATATCTGTGTCCAGGCCCCATGTCAGACCAACTAAATAGAAATAGAGGAGAAAGATGAGAGGTGGCCAGGATTTGAATTGTTTTCAGAGCTGCCCAGCTGATTCTAATGTACTACTGGGATTGAGAACCACTGAATTAGGACTAATTCTTTTTTCTGTGGAGTCCTTATTTATATGCCATTTTTCCTGTCTAAGCCTGTTATGGAATGGAAGATAAATGAATTCACTGTGTGTGTATGTTTGCTGCTGCTGCTTCTAAATAGCATTTAGTTCAGCAAAGACATGAAGGAAGGGATATGATCCATATAATTGATAATATAAATACCTAGGAGGTCCTGGTTGGTGCAGACTGTTAATGTGTTTGGCTGCTAACTGAAAGGTTAGAAGTTTGAGTCCACCCAGAGGCACCGCAGAAGAAAGGCCTGACCATCTACTTCCAAAAAATCAGTCCTTGAAAATCGTACAGAGCACAGTTCTGCCCTGATATACATGGGGTCACCATGAGTCAGAGTTGATTCGACAGCAGTTGATAATGTTGGTATGTGCTGTGAGTGGTCTCCCACTCATAGCGACCTTATGTACAACAGAACAAAAGCCTGGTCAGTCCTATACCAGCCTCATGATCTATACCTGAGCCCATTGCTACAGGTAATGTCATCCATCAGTCCATCTTGTTGAGGGCCTTCCCCTCTTTCATTGACCCTCCGCTTTACCAAGCATGACATCCTTCTCCAGAGAATGGTGCCTTCTGACAACATAACCAAAGTAGGTGAGACGAAGTCTGGTCATTCTTGCTTCTAGGGAACATTCCAGCTGCACTTCTTCCAGGACATATTTGTTAGTTCTTTCAGTAGTCCAAGGTACTTTCCACATTCTTTGCCAACACCACAACTTAAAACCATCAACTCTTCTTCCTTATTCATTCTCCAGCTCTCACACGCATATGAGGTGATTGAAAATACCATGGCTTGGGTTAGGCACAGCTTAGTCTTCAAGGAGATATCTTTGCTCTTCAGCACTTGAAACAGGTCTTTCACAACAGATTTGCCAATGCAATGTCTTTTGATATCTTGACTACTGCTTCTGTTGGCATTAATTGTAGAACCAATATGAACTCTTTGACAACCTCAATCTTTTCTCTATCTATTGTGATGCTGCTTATGAGTTCAGTTGTGAGGATTTTTGTTTTCTTTATATTGAGGTGTAATCCATACTGCAGACCTGAGTCTTTAATCTTGATCAGTAAGTGCTTCAAGTCATCCTCACAGCAAGCAAAGATGTGTCCTCTGCATATCTCAGGTTGTTAATGAGTCTCCCTTCAATCCTGATGCCACATTCTTCTTTATCTAGTCCAGTTTCTTGGATTATTTGCTCAGCATACAGATTGAATAAGTGTGGAGAAAGGATACAACTCTGACACACTACCTTCCTGATTTTAAACCATGCAGTATCCCCTTGTTCTGTTCGAACAGTTGATAATAGTGTATATAAATACCCACATAGGTTAGATTCATTATGCTTGGTGATTGCTAATTTCAGTTTGTAGTTACAATCTTGGAAATAATTATTTCTCTGATTTACACATCAGACCGACATAATGAGAAATGAATTTGACAGATTGGCTGCTCGACAACCAATTGAATTGCTCAGTATGAAACGGTAAGTCCTGTTTCTGAGTTCAGCAGAGTTCAGTCATTGTTCACTTGAATTTATTAGTAAAGTTGTAAATGTTGGGGGTGGGGGAGAACCTATGCGTTTCTGTTTTGTTTTGTTTCATATAGTAGTAGTTCATATAATACTGTTTTAATATTGAAAGATATTCTTTGCATCATTTAAAAGTGCAAAAATATTTAAATTCCTACAACAGGGGAATGATTGTAATGTGAATTGAAGTTCATGTTTAAGAATTCCCAAGGAAATACCCCTGATTAAACATCTAGTTCTTCTCTAATCACATGCATGTACTATAATCAGTGTTAGGAGTTATCATTACTCTGCTTCACTCTTATAAAAGACAGCATTAATGATTGTAGTGTGCCTGGTTAATAGTTTGACTTTGGCTTTGCTGTCTCTCCTCCCATGCCACTGTTTCTCTTTCCTTTCTCCTTGGGGTAGGGGGTAGGCACCCTTTGTTACTTTCTCTAAAACAGAGAATTGGATTGGTTAACATCTGCATTCCTTTTCAATGTTAAAATACTGTGGAACGGTGAGAACCACTGGTAATGTAATCTGTCAGAGCAGAGTCCTGCAAGAGAAGGTGTGAGAAAACTCGATTTGGCCTTTGTCTCTGGTTCCCGAAAGATAACACTTGGAATCTTGAGTAATCAAAGTATCTTTATCATCACCTCCAGACAACACTTGAAGATTTGTGCAAACAAGTGGGGGCTGGCCAGGCTGCAGAGACCACACTTGGAGGGAAAGTCCTGAAGGGAGAGGAACGTGATTTAGTTAGTCATGCATATACATTGAGGGCTTCCCCCCGCCCCAGTCCTACTTAGGCAATGAGGCTAAATAAAGTCCATAAGCCACTCCTTGGAAGGAAGGTTGGACAATCTACTTCCGTAGTGTTACTGTCTCAGAAACTCAAGGAGGGGTCACTATGAGTTGTCTGACTCCACGGCACATAACAACAACAGCAAGCATGAGACTTCATGAGCTTCCTGATTGGAAAAAGAGATCCATGCACAGGAGATACAGAGGGACATGAAGACTCTGTAGCTTTCTTGTACTTTGTCCTGTGTATCTCTGTTTTTTTCTGATTGTAATAAATTGGTATGATACGCTCTATAAATTCTGTGAGTTGTTCCAGGGAATGAATCAACCTACAGGGGCAGTGAAAGCCAGCAAGGGCTGGCATCTGCTTATTTGGCAGTCTGAAGGATTGTGTCCTCTTAACTTGTGAGCTCTGAAACAGTTCTGGTTGGCTGGAGTCAGAGAGAGAGTGACATTTGAAGTAGCTAGTGACAAAGATGGAGAAATGAGGAGAGGCTGGATCCATTTCCCAATGGAATTTGCCCACCATGCCTCTTATTTAGCACAGTGGGATACGTGAACAACAGGGCTGTCCTTTCAGCATACTCTAAGAAGGGCTTGAGTCTGTGGGGCTATGTGTCTTAGTCTGAGTTCTCTAGAGGAGCAAAACCAGTGAAACATATCTAAGAGAGAGAGAAATTTACTTTGAAGAAATACCTCACACACTTGCGTGGGCTGGCAAGTCCCACATCCATGGGTTAGACAACAGGCTGAAGACCTCTGCTGGCTCACCTAATTCAGGGGCTGATAAGCCCAATATCTGCAATCAGGTGGCAGTCTCTGCTGGCTCAAGGAGTTGTGGGGGTTGGCGAATCCAAAATCTGCAAAGCAGGCAGCAGGCCAGAGACTTCTGCAGACTTACATCCCAAGAACCAGAGGTCAGGCAATGAGAAGAGTGCAGGGTCAAGAAAGTGAGTGCCCTTTGCCAGTTTGGGTCTGAGCTACTGGTCAGGTCGGAACTGGGTTACTGTAGTTTTCTGTTGAATCTAATCACAGGGCAGAGTAGTACTAAGAAACATCCTAAAGGACATACTACTCTTTCTCTCTATTATGTATTATCAGTTCATTTTCCCATTGCTGATCAGGTTAAGTCACATCAGCTCATGTAGTAACTCCCTTCTTTGCCTGTTGATCCAGAAGCAGGAGGAACACAAAGTGGCTAGGTGACATTCTTAACTTCCAGTTCTATGGAATCAGTGTTTCTTCTGGTGGGAGTATTCCTCCCTATGGAACTAAGACCTTTAGATCTAGAGACAGGATCACGGGGACAAGAAGCAGAAATTTTATAAGTACGTCACTAGGGGTAATAATGAGTGGTACCACTCTCATTCATACCACTTAATTGTTGGACTCTCGAATCTTGGCTGCGAGAGAAACAGCACCATATGCTGAATATTGGTTTAGAGCATATACAGCCTCCTAGAGAACATTGCCCCAACCCTGTAAGGCATTGCCACCTACCTGGCACTGTAATTTGCTTTAAAAGGCCATTCTATCATTCTTTCAAGCTAGCTGCTTCAGGGTGATAGGGAACATGGTAAGACCAGTGAATAACCTGAGCGTGGGCCCGTGCGGCACTTCATTTGCTGTAAAGTGAGCCCTTTGATCCAAGGCATCAGAGGCATTTCTTTCGGGACCCGAGTGGCAACTTTCAGATCGTTTATGTAGCACTTGGGCTGTGACTCTGAAGCCCTGAGCTCATCTTTTTCTGACACCATTTTGTCTAGTGAAAGCAGGACCCACCAGCCATCCAGCTTCCGTATACTTCTCATTCTGACAAAACTGTAGAAAAGTATCATATATACAATCACCCAGATCCTTGTTTCTCACAGATATTTGATACATTGGTGGTGATACTTATTGCCATGGCACACCATAGATTAACAGTGGCTTCTTTGCTACTGAAAATAGAGTCAGTGCCTTTAAGTCTAGCCAGACCTGAGAACCAGTTCAGAAAACTCATCCTTACGATTTTATTTCTCTTAGAACAATCAACCATATGAAATTAAAAGGGTGGCATTTGCCCAGGGTTAAAGCTCAGAAGGCAGGAAGGGATTGAAAGGAATGACAAAGGAAAATGATAAACACAGGGAAGAAGTGAGAAGAGTGCTGTTACATTGTGGAGATTGCAATCGAGGTCACAAAATGTGTATGAATTTTGAATGGAAAACCATTTTGCTCTGTAAACTTTCACCCAAATCACAATAAAAATTAATAGCAAAAAAGATTTTGTTTCTCTGGAAATATCCTCGGTGCCAAATGTCTTAGTCTGGGTTCTCTAGAGGAGCAAAACCAGTGAAGTATATATAAATATAGAAAGAAAAAGAAATGCCTCGTGCAGTTGTGGGGGCTGGCAAGGTTCAGATCTGTGGGTCAGGTGATAAGGTGAAGATCTCTGCTGACTCCAGTGGTTGCAGGTGCTGATGAACCCAAAATCTGCAGGTCATGCGCCAGGTTGGAGGTCTCTGTTGGTGCATATGGTTACAGGGTTTGATGTATCCAAAATCTGCAAATCAAGCAGCAGACCAGAGATTGATTCAGTCTTCCATGCCAAGAGCCAGAGATTCGTTAACAAGAAGAGTGCAGGGTCAAGAAAGAGTGACCTTTGCTAGACCATCCATTTATTTATTGGAAGCAGGCCACACTGCCAAGGAAACATCACTTTCAGTTGATTGGCTGCTTACATTAGATTGCAAGATGGAAGGAGACTGCATGGTATCTGCCAAACTACTGAGAATCATAGTCTAGTTGAGGTGACACATATCTTTAACCATCACACCAAGGTACTAGAATTTCTTTTTCTTGTTCTCCATTTTCCTCTTTGGCCTGAGTGATGAAGACAGGACAGAGCTATGAGGTGGACAACTTCTAGGAGTCTCACATGTTTTGTTGCCTCTGCTCTAAACATTCCTAATATGATACCAACTCCATTTTGGCAGTATGTTTCAAACTGTAGATAGTGACCCATGAAGCAGTGGGTTGTGAAATAAATTTAGCAAAGCATCACCAGCACTTTTTAAAAGAAGTCAATAGGAAATATCAGAGTACATTGCTTGTAAAAGTAATATTTTGTGAAACTTTAGTTATGCATATTTATGTACTGAGTCACAGGGTAAAATATATTTCTTACTGACACATATATTTGCTGGCTATACTGGCAGTGTTAAAGAAAGTGAGAATATGACATGAGGTCCAAATACAAAGAATTATTATATTCTCCATCTTTTTCTCTAGAGGGGTATGTGTGTTTTACAAGTGTGGTAGCATAGCACAGTTTTCCATATCTTACTTTTTTCCTTTAATATATTACAGACATCTTGTTATTAAATATTCTATAACATCATATAATAGCTAATATAACTACTGTTTATGAATGTATCATAGCTTGTCACGTGTCTTTCTATTGACATTGAAGTGAATGATTTTTTTGCAATTGTAATTAATGATGTTCAATCTCATTTGTAAATTAATTGATTCTTAGGATAAGGGGGTTTCTTATTGCAAAGTCTGCATCTTATTTTTAGTCTTAAGTGGTATTTACAATATGCATAGACCCCTGAGACACTCTCTTAGGAGGAATTAAGGTCTAGGGGAATATATTTTATTTTCCTTTTTTGTTGTTTAATTTCAGATATGAGCTTCCAGCCCCTTCCTCGGGTCAGAAAAATGATATTACTGCATGGCAAGAATGTGTAAACAATTCTATGGCCCAGTTAGAACACCAAGCGGTTCGAATTGAGAACCTGGAACTAATGTCACAGCATGGATGCAATGCCTGGAAAGTATATAATGAGTAAGAAGTATTTCTTTGCTGAGTTTATTTGTTTAAAACCCATTCCACCACCAGCTTTGTTATTTTCTAAAGTAGGGGGCAGGGATTAAGCTAGGGGAAGAGGAGTGAAAATAAATATTGCTAGACTCTGGCTTAGGACTATACCCTAAATCTACCAACCCATATAAAAGACTACTGCTTTTGAGACTTACCTCAAAGTTTAGGAATACAGAGGTCTGATTTACAGACTACTATCTGGTGAGAAGGAGCTCTGGTAGTGTAGTACCTAAGGCACTTGACTGCTAACCAGGAGGCTGGTGATTCAAGCCTATCACCTCAGAAACCCAAGGGGGGTCGCTATGAGTCGGGGCCGACTCAGTGGCACATAAAAACAACAACATTTGGTGAGATATAATCTTAAATGTGGGAATTCTTTATGACTATAGAATTAACCAGAAAGGATTTTGCTGCCAGAAACTTCCAACCTCTGAGAACCTATTTCTGTTCTGTGTTACTGGCTTTACCATTTATTTTCTGTCTAGAGTTTAGTTTCCTTATTTGTAAAGTTTGGGGGTTAGATTATGTCTTTGGTCCCTTGGAGCCTAAAATCCCCTGAGTCTCTCAGCAGTTTAAGAAAAGTCCATTAAATGTCATGACTATAAAACTATTTGTTGGAGTATGTTTCCTGAAGCATAACTGTATAAAGTAAAGCAAGACCTCAACATGATAAATACCTTTTCTCAAAACTTCAGACAATAGTGTTTTAACTTTCTATGGCAACATAATGATCCAATGGGCAAAATTTAGAGTTTGGAAAATAGTACATAACGTATACTATGTTTCTTTTGTGAATTTGTTGCCAGAGGGAAAAAAAGAAAGAATGAGGTCAGGGTTATTAAGACATTTAAGAAGCAGATTGATCAAAAACATGTCTGTTTCACAGTGTGGAAAAAATGTGATCTTATTCTTAAGAAGGTTTATATAGTTTGAGAATACAAGATGTTCTATGCAAAATAACCAGTAGTCCATTTTGGCATTGTAGGTGCAAATGCTACATGTGTGTTTGATGTATAAATTACCAACATTCAAAGAAGGGACGTTAAGAATGAGGGTCATTTACCATGTATAGAGTTGGCAGACAGTGGTTCTACTAGTGTATTTGTATGTTTTGTAAGAGTTCCTAGGTGTATAGTAGAACTGACAACGACAAGGTTGTAGTTTGAATATTTAGAGAAGGAGAATATTCCAGGAATGGGGGAAAACATGGATGCAGAGGAAAGAACATTGAATTCCAAAGAACATTGCTTTTAACTTGTCTGTCACTTGCCTGGAAACCTTTAATAATTCCTGATTACCTGCAAAATAAGGTCCAAACTATTTAGCATGGCATGGAAGGCCTTCTAAACTTCCATCGTAGACTTTCACTCAAGCCAAATGACTCCTCTTTCTGATAATCATGAACCCGGCTTCTAGTCTTTGCTCATGCCTTTCCTCCTTCTGGAATGGCCTTATCTCTCCTACCCAAATTCAACTTAAGACCCAATTCAGGTCTACTTGCTTGTCTTCCCTGATTGAAATTCTCTCTAAAATTATTTCTGCCTTCTCTGAGTAACTATGTACATGTACATACTATGTACATCATTTATTTTTCATTTAATCACATAATGCTCTGTAGTGTTTAACTTTTCCTCTGAGCATATTTTGTCTCCTCCAAACCCAGTGGACACGTCTCCAGAGGAGATGTACTATATCTTATCAAAGTAAATTTTCTTTCCTCATGCAAAGTTTTGAAGGTGTCATACCTATGGGCAAAGAGCTTTTAAGTCTAAGACAATCTTCATGCAGGACTGCTGAAGAAATAGTATTTCAGTAATAAGGAGAAAATACTATACTTGCAACTTAGAATTTTATGACTAAGGGGAAACCTTTAGAAAGAACAGCCCCTGATTTTACAGATAAAGTGCAAAGCTACAGCATCGTCAAGTGGGACTCATCTAAGGACACACATCTGTTTAGGGCAGAGCTGGGACTAGAACCCAGGTCTTCTGACTCCCTTGATAACAGTGGAGTCCGTTTCATTTAGAAGTATCACTGTGCTTAAGAAGGGACCTATGTACTTAAAGAAGATGGAAGGAGGGTATTTTAGTCTGGGTTCTCTAGAGGAGCAAAACCATTGAAGCGTATGTAGATATATATAGAGAAAATTTTATTTCAAATTGTTCACTCAACTGTGAGGTAATGGCTCATAGAATTATGAGGCTGGTAAGTCCTAAATCCATGGGTCAGGTAGTAGGTTGAAGGTTTCTGGCAGAGTGAAGGCTTCTACTGGTTAATGTGGTTGCAGAGGCTGATGAATCCAAAATATACAAGTCAGGAGGCAGGCCAAAGGCTTCTCAAGTCCCAGGAACCAAAAGTCAAGTGTCAAAAAAAAAAAAAGTGTAGGATTGAAAGAAGAGAGCAAGCTTTGCCAGAACATCCATTTATATCATGGATCCAGGCCACACTTTCAAGGAAACTCCTCTTCCAACTCATTGGCTGCTCATATCAGTTCATAAAATTGAAGGTGATTAGTGTCTGCCAAACCACTGAGAATCATAGCCTTGTCAAATTGACCTGTAACATTAATCATCACAAAGGGTGAAGGCAGCAAATAAACTAGGCTTTCGGTAAGAGGTAATTCAAAGGAAGACACCCTGTTAATGGTCAGAGGCCAGAAATAGAGTATTAATTTTTTTTTTTTTTCAATTGTGGTAAACATGAACAAAACATTCGCCGTTTCAGCATTCTTCACAAGAACCGCAGTTCAGTGACAATGGGCTCAACACGCTGTTCAGCTACCACCCTTATCGGTTCCCACATTTTTCCATCACCCTTTACAGAAGCTCAGTGTCCCATAAGTGAGTACTAAATTTGATAGTCCTCTGCATAAAGTAGTAATTGAAGCTACATGAATTGGGATGAGCTGAGGGAAAGCCTAGGGAGACACAGCTGTGTAAAGAATGACTCTTGAGACAATTACAGCTAGTGAAAGGAAAGCAGTCAGAGATAAAAGAGTAATTCAGGTAAGCAGCAGGAAATTTGAGTCACAAAGTCCAGCAAACAATGTTGAATCTGGAGCAAGAGCACAGCAGAGCCAATAATGGTTGAAATGGACCAGAAAGGTGATTATCTGCTGCCTTAAAAGGAAATTGAAATAATGTGTGAATTATATCTCACTAAAGCTGTTATTTTCCAAAGAAAAGCAATTGAAATCTGCTGCTGAATCACTTCTTTAATGATAATCATATGGTATGTCTGTATCATTCAGCCTTTCCCTGTGCTGGTCAGAGCAGACTTGGACTGGACTCTGTATCTCCAGCCTTCCACAAAAGTTTCCTTTTCCTCTCCTTTCTTGAGTTAGTAGTAGACAGGAGAGAGTGCTAAGATAGATATGGATATAGAAATACACAGATAAAAAGCGGTCTAAAGGTGTGTCCCTGTGTCAGGTATTTTTCATCTATGAAAAATGATGACAGTTTAAGAAGTGATATAAATGCTCAAAATCAGGGTAAACTTGGTTCTAGAGTTGAAAAGACCTGGAATACAATCCAACTCTGACACGTACCTCATTCTTTTTTTTTTTTTTTATTAGGATTTGGGTGAAGATTTACAGAGTAAATTCACTTTTCATACAGCAGTTCACATATACT